AAGCTGCCATTACATTCAGTGCTTAAGTTTTCTCAGACTTTCAAACTGCAAGCAGAGTGCCATGTCACTCCAATAGATTTTACCCTGCAGTTAGGAAGTGTCAAATGAATGATTCAAGATACAGACATTACAATAAAGCTAACTAGAGCTCCCCAGCAAACATTTTTACTACTACATGACCTGGGTGAGAAAGATGCATGAGGACACATTTCTGTCCCTGCTGAAGCCTTCTGAAATCACATCTCTGTATCACAACTTGTAGGGAAAAAAATAATGAAAAATTATGAGAATGAAGAAAAGAGCTCCATCACTGTATGAAACAGTACAGTAGAAAGGACAGAACCAGAAAACCTGCACAAGTGTGAGTAGGAGAGCTGCTTCTTTAAAACATATACAGCTAACAAGATCTCCATCACTCAGAAATCATAATCACTGTTCAGCCAGGGTCCAAAAACATTAGTGCCAATACCTACTACACATTAAGAGAAGCCTCATCCCTGCCATCATAGAATGGCCTGGGTGGAAAAGGACCACAGTGCTCACCTGGTTCCAACCCCCTGTTGTGTGCAGGTCACCAACCAGCAGCCCAGGCTGCCCAGAGCCACATCCAGCCTGGCCTTGAATGCCTGCAGGGATGGGGCATCCACAGCCTCCTTGGGCAACCTGCTCCAGTGCCTCACCACCCTCTGGGTCAAAAACTTCCTCCTCATATCCAACCTAAAGCTCCCCTGTCTCACTTTAAAACCATTCCCCTTGTCCTGTCACCATCCACCCTCACAAACAGCCGTTCCCCTCCTGTTTCTACTCTCCCTTCAAGCACTGGAAGGCCACCATGAGGTCTCCCTGGAGCTTTCTCTTCTCCAAGCTGAACAAGCCCAGTTCCCTCAACCTTTCCTCATTGAAGAGGTGCTCCAGCGCTCTGATCATCAGATACCAGCAACCAGGCCTTCAGTTACAAATAGCTGCCTTCTACACCAAAGTACACACTTATCAGCACGTGTAACTTGTATACACACAGCAGAGTTAAGAAATATTCTATAAATCCCCTTCCATCCCATTAGGACTAACAAAGTTGTCATGACTTCCAAAGAACTGTAAAGCTGAGAACAGATTGTCAGACCTCCATCAGACTGGTCAGCCACAGGAAAAGCAGTTCTGGTCCACATTCTGCACCTGCAAGATTCAGCTGTGCTCCAACTCAAATATTTGCAACTTTCTGTGTACCGAATTCCCACCAAAGAACGACATCGATCAATGGATGCTTGTCTGTAAATTCCAAACTGTAAAGCTTTCTGCTTGTAAAAATAAATAAAATTAGGAAAGCTTCACAAGATTTACTTCTCCACTACCCTACCAGGCCATCTGATTGCGCAGTGGCACCACAAATATATATCTAAAATTCCAGCTGAAAAGCTTTCTGCTTGGTAATATTTAGTACCTGAGAAAGGATGGGATTGGCTTAACAGGTTTTGTCTCAAATGTCTCGATACGGATCCCAGCAGTGATCTACCAGCCAGCAGGCCAGCTCTCTATTTCCACATTGCATTTCTAAAATCACTTCTCCATGAAAAGAATCAGGTTTCAAAACTTTAGATGTACACAAGCGAGGGCACATAAGTGCTGGGAGCTGCTTAGCATAGCAAAATGTTTCTCTTGAGTGAAAACTACCAGTCTGAAACCTCCTCAGGGAAGGGTGTCTTAAAGTGTCAAGGAAACTCATGCAAGCTGCTTGCCTTAATGAGTTTAAGCTGCTGGCACCAGAGCTACTGCCAGAGTTTCACTCCCCATGCAATTGTTTTGCAGGAGGGAGGAGCAATTAAAAAAAAAAAAAAAATCATCAATTTAAATTCACTCACAAACTAAGAATTTGCAAAAGTAATTGGGAAATGATGTACTGGAAGTTTAGGTTATAGGTATGTTCCAAGTGAACTCGGAAAGTCTGTCCCTTGTGCTTCTAATAGTTACTGGACCTCCATCAGCTTTAATTCAGAGCTGTAAGAAAAGTGCATCCACTTTCTGAAATGAAGATCCTTCAAAGACCTGAGAGAGGATATGATTTTATTCACACATTTTTTTTATTCTAAGGGTGTTCAAGCAGTCTGTAACTTCAAGGCCAAATCACACCTTTTATTAAAATGTTCTGAAAGGCATCAAATGGTAACTTCCACCCAAAACACCCCTATAAGGTAACAGGCAATAACAGTTCCTTGGATACAATAAAGGAAATGCTGCAGTTTTTAAATCTATAAGCCTAGCATTTGCAGTGGAGATATTGAAGTTGGGCTTTTCAATCCACAGGAACAACAGGTTAAATCTACAAATCCTGATGGAAAACACTGAAATAATTCAGCCACGCTTCCTCAGCTTGAAGAAGCTCAAAATATTATAGGGCAATGTCAACTGCAGACAGCATCTGCTACGCTGATTTGCATTAATATTGAAAGTGCATGATAATAAAATGACCTCCACATAAGAATCCACGGTTTTTCTGCTTGCTGTGGGGGTCCCATCCTTCCCTGTACTATGAGATTCTGAAGAGACAGAGAGTAAAGACAAAGCAAAACATACAGAAAGAACGCTTAAAGGAACTGTGTGCTCTTAAAATTTGTTTAATCTTCCATTTAGAAGGCAAAATCTTGCTGAGGGGGCTGTTTTACTGCAGAATACATTCAAAGATCAGCTGTTACATACTGCAGGAATTTAACCAACAAAGAGAGGGTTATAAAACATCTTAATACAACAATAATCCACAGCATCAGGCTGAGGAGAACACATCAATCTTCTCAGTGGGTTGGCACTTTCTTCCAATTGTCTTTTTGTTTATGGAGTTAGAAAGAAGTTTATTCTTTGATAAGGCATGTTATGCTGTGCCACAGAAATAGGTCACGGATGACACGTAGTTTTGTAATCACTGTAAATATGCATATGTGCATCTCAGATATGCTGTTGGTACACCACTCTGCCATTACTGAGAAATACAGCCCATGGTATCAAGACTGGCAGATGCAATCTTGTTTACTGAAAATATGGATATAATGCAGTTGTCAACACTCAAAGGACTCTTCCTAAGTAGTTCCTACAGGGATACCTTATGCTCTAGGTGGGACTGCATGAGACAATTTCCAACCTCTAAACAGATCTTTGTGCACACAACAACTTCTTATCTTTAGATGAAATTGCACCTCTCAGTCTGAAATCTTCACGTTGTATTATTTTAGCAACGAGAGCAAAACCACAACATCCCAGTGCTCTGCGCTCACAGGAGAACCTCACAGCTCTTTACATTTAGCTCCTGTATACAACTAAACATTCATACCAAACTGCTAGAGAAACGAGGCTCCAAAAAATATCAGCCAAAGGTTTTCTGGAACAGCATTAAGAAATAAGATGATCAACGATGTCCTTTAAGACAAATGAATAAATCTCTAATGACAAAATCTCTTTGATCATGTAAATACGTGGAAGTTTGTTTCTTCATAAAGTAATACGAATGCTAAGCCACAAAATATTTTATCTTACCAAGTATCTGATCTATTACTGCAACTAGATGCTGAAGTTCCCATGAATGCTAAACTTACCAAACACTGGATAGCGTTATAAATAAAACCTTCAGTCTCAGATTATTACATATAATTGCTTGGTTAGAAAAACAAAAAGCCTTCACGATTTGGCATTCCTCTTTCAAACACAAACGCACTGAAAGCGCTTTCAAAATCTCTATCCTTCAACTATAAATTTACACTGTGAGTTTATATCTCAGCTTTATTATCAGTATCTACGTTTGAGTGTTGGCTGCCTGGGGCAAGGACTGAGTTCATACAGCACCCAAACCATACAGCAAGCGCTGGATTCATCTCTGTTAAGCAAAAAAAATCCAGATGGAAAGAGAGAGAAGAGATACCAACGATACCAGCAAATCCACATAAAGGAAATAAATTACATGCAATAGTTCCTTTCTATCTGAGATTTTAAAACTGGTGTTTTTAGCCACATAAGTTGCATAGAGTTCTGCAACCATAGCATGCACGTTGTCCAGCAATTCCAACGGAAGGAGGGCACAACTTCTGCAGGTGAAGCTGCAGCCAGCGCAGAGACAGAGCACCTCCACAAATCGCTGCTGGCACCACAGCTCCTGCATTCAGTCCACACTCATTCCCACCACCGTTCTCTCAATGCACACCGCATCCACCACTGCCAACACAGCGTGTGCCAGTTGCCATTCCCAGAACAATACGCAGCTCCCCTGGAAAGACAAATCTCACGTTCCTCACATGTTTTGTGTGTACAGCACTTCCTCCTCTTTCCCTTCCATCACTTCCACAGCACAGCGTGACAAAACTCAGCCACGACCACAGAACACACCATTAAAAGAGAAACGCGCCTCAAAGAATCCGTTCTTTGCACTTGCGAGCTAAAAAGCAAACCGAAAACGCGGCGACACGCATCCTACAACCGACATCCCGAGGGCAGCGGGAAGAGGAAAACACCGCAGCAAGGAGCTGAGGGAGAGGAAGACCGTCCGTTTTCTCCCTACCTGCACCTACACGACAGCGGGCTTCCGCAGGAGCCGCCTCCTCACCTGACACCTCCAGGAAGGAGCGCGTTTAATCGCGATTGGAATCACAGCCCTCACCTCGGCCGCGGTGGGGGGCACACAAAGCCGGCTTTGGGGGCTGCCATCTCCCAACCCCCCCCCCCTCCTTCGCTGCTCCCAGCAGGTGGCAGCCCCC